TCTATCAACTCTTGCAGGCTCTCCTTATCAACTACTGACTGGTTTGGTCTCTTTTTTGCACGCTGCATGATGTTCTGAAAGTCTTTATTTGTTGGGTAAAAACGACGTCTCGTTTTTGTTTCATCTCGGACACCTAAATCATTTTCTACATATCTCTCTAGATGAGGCTTCATTTCTGATACTTTTTTCACTCCTTGCCTTGCTAGCTCTGTAATTTTGTCTATTACCTCCTCTGCCACCCGTTCTCTCAAGTGAGCAATCTGATGGTAGACAAAAGGTTAATACAAATTAAAATCAAGATATGTTCTGTATGACATAGAGTCATACTATACTATCACTCATCCTCCAATTCATAGTATCAATTTCAGTACAAAACAAGTAGTTCCCTTATTTCTCATATGACTTCATAAATAGTACCATTATATATCTGAACACTTACGTAGCCTAAATATAATTACATCCTATAAATTGCATATCAACACACAAGACAATTTAAGAAACTCACTGGTCCTTCAATGGGATGGTTTCTGTGCTCTTCCTTGGGTGGTATAATGACATGATACTCCATTACCATTTCTATTGGTTCTCCCTCTTTGATGGCAGATTTGATCACAGCAGCTGTCTTTTGCTTCAAATAAGGGGATGATCCATGTTCGACCTGTCAGGATAAATATTTCCATTTGAAACAGATTGGATGCTGGATACTCATTTCAGACTTATATTAAACATTTCATAAAAGACTTAACGTTCAGTTTGGTTAAAGTTAGGGTTCTTACGCAAACTAATATATATATATATTTCCATATGGATGGATTTGGTTTAAATATAATTATATTTCTTATTAAAAAATATTTACCTAATTTACAAAGAAATGCAAAAGATATATGGAGAAATGTTACCTCAAATTCAGGGAATTTCAAAATCTGTATTGCTGTGAACTGGAATGGACAGGACAGTTTTTTTGAGTCTTGATATAGACGTCTTTTCTTGGTAACTGCCTGGCCTTCCTCCTAATTGGATAAATAAGGTTGAAAAAATGTTTAAAATGGTAACATAAATATAAGAAGGAAATAATACTACAATGTTCAGTTACTACACAATGATAATTCTTTACACCATATGAGATATCATGACATAAGTTCAGTATCAAAATGAATAGAGAAAACAAAATATTGCCTGGGAAAAAAGGGACAATTATAAACTCATTCTATAGCTTAATTATAACCAGGTAATACACTGTAAAGTTATGGTACAGCACTCACTTCAGCCTTCCTCTTCTGCTCTTTGTATCTTTCTTTCGCTTTGACCTGTTTGTCACGACCCTGATGACAGCCATACCTCTTCCTCCCAATGCGGATGTGGGGCACATTGTCCCCCAACCAGGATATATGCCCAATTGGCTGGCCAGGCCCTGGTCGATAATCTGTAAGAAATATAAAAATCAATTTTCATGATCAATTTCTCACTATCCAGATGAAGATAATGATAATGAGTAATATCTAAATAAGTTATATCTTTGTGTGTTAATATCATACACACTTGCCCCACATCTGCCCAACTTTTTCCTAATAGATAGTATTACATGCACATGTAACATTTATCTGTCATTGGAAAAAAACAGGAACTATATTTGAAGTCTGATTTGAAGTCTTTATTTATGTAATTTATGAAGCAAAGTAAGTGGAAAAGGAATAATTTAAGGATGTGTTTGTAGATACATTTTTTTAACATAAATTACTTAATTCATCAATAAAATTAGTCTCCCTCATAAAGATATTTTAGCTCTTTCTAATGCGACCATCTAAACTTGTTTATATTATCTTCATCCCATCATTTGACAAGCAACAAAAACAGGAAGTTTGCAACACATACGATCATTTCCAAATGTCTTGTCCTTATTATAGACGATAAATTTCGATAACGTCGCTTCCTCTTGAGCTTTTATATAGCTATTTAATTCCTCAATGGATGACAACACTTCAAAATTGCATCCAGACTGTCTAGCTGAAGTTTCATTTTCTATCAGTTCCACCTTCACAACCTCCTCCATCGTTGTTATTGTTTGGATGTCGGAGGTGCCGTTCGCGAGCGTGAATCCAGCATGCACATTCACATTTAGCGTTCGCAGGATGAAAGGGGATTAAATTTAAAGAGTAAAAAAATCTTTGACCTACTTAGTTTGTGTTTTGGGAACAAATCTAACCAGAAACATGAAGACACTTATAAACATACTCGCACACATCACAGACACATGGATGTGAACACACGCAAACACACACACACACACACACGCACACGCACGCACACACACAACACACACACACACACACACACACACACACACACACACACACACACACACACACACACACACAACACACACACATAGACACACACAGACACACACACACACACACACACACACACACACACAACACACACACACACACACACACACACACACACACACACACACACACACACACACACACACACACAT